TATATAATTCATTGTTTTCGTCCTCCCCACAATATTCTTCCTTTTACTGGTTAGGCACGGGCAGGAGCCCACCTGGGTTTGATCTGCAGGGCCGTGCGCGTCCTTAGTGGTCCACCATTCACCACTACACCACTCCTAGGCTGAACAAGCAACGCTTCATAAGCTTCTATTTCACGCTATTCAGCACATTTTTTACCGACGTGGATCAACCATTTTGGAATGCGCCACGATTTTACCTCCAATTGGAATCGCGGGAATCGTGGTGCCTTTCTGAAGAGATGGTCCATATAAGGGTCGGGACCTGCCGGTACAAATTCAATGTTCTTGTCCTCCCTTATGACGTTTCATCTTTTCATAGGCCCCGAAGGAAAGGAAGGCGGCTAGCGGGAGCCTGTCTGGGAATTTACTGCCGCACCGAGTGCTGAACGGCGACGTTCACCGCTACACCATCTCCGAGGCTCAAGAAGCAATGTTTCAGCAGCTTCTATGAAACGCAATTCAGCACATTTCTTTCGCGATGGATTCTTTTTGATGTAAACCATATGCATTTCGGAAAAACGCTCCCATTAGAATTATGCAAAATTCAGGCGTTTCTAATGGACAGCCTACGTTTTCATGCCATTAGCAGGCGTTTTCGTCAATTTTCCGATATGGTTTTCCTATAAGGGCATCTGATTGGCCATCGCCTGTATTGTACGATAAAAGAGGTTACTGGTTCTCATCGAAGTACATGTTGCAGGGTCTCGGAAGTGCCCATTCTGCCGTCATGTCTCGAAGAGTCCAGCCATGCTTGAGAAGCATATCGCTAGGCACGTACCAGAACGGAAGGAAGAAGTCTGCTGAGAGTTACAACTGCGATCAGTGTATGTACAGGTAAGTAGCCCAGCTATCTTCAATTTTGGCTCCTTCTACTTGGGTACCAGGTAAAGTTCGTTCAACTTCTCAAGCAAAGAATCCTTGGTTGCCAGGAGTCCCAGAGGTCTAGAGCAATTGCTGGCGCTAGCGCTAGAACGCATGCATTCTGGCGATTGAACAATTCACTTACACACCGGTAATGACGTGGTTTCGCGACGAGATACCGTAATCTATCCTAGCGCGGGGCATAGTTTAGCATAGACGACGTTGATGGCGGCGACGGCAGCGTCGGCAGCGGTGGCGGCGGTGCAGCACAGGAACGATACAGTATTCACTTGGCTGCGATCAATCACTGCGAATGCGACCCCGTTTTCGCGTGTTTTGCTGAAATCTAGTTCTTCGTGAATTAAGGAGCGCATAGTATACGCTGTGTAATAGTTGACTTTGATGAATACACATTTTTCTGGTTTTCCCTTGCGAAATAAGCGGTCGCTTGACGAACTACTATGAAGTTTTTTTGGCTCTAAACTAACACTAATCAGCTGACTAATGGCGATTCATCACAGAGGTCCCTATATCGTTGACGACAGAGTCTAAATAATGATATCATTACCGAGAGGACATTCCGCATTGAGTTCCTCACATGCCTCTCTCTGATTTGGCAATGAAGCCAGAAAAGGAAACCCCTTTCTCCTGATCCTAGGGAGTAGTTGAAGCTGACCATTGCCATGAACAGTAAGGTTTCTCGCCAATTGATCCATTGAGGATGCAACACTTTTCTGTCCTGGCATTTGCCCAGAATTACAAAACAAAATCAAGTTTTCTGGACAATTCATTCTTTCCGATGCGCCATGCACTATGCTTCCATTTGGAGTTGTAATAGCGTTGAATATAGCCTGTTCAACGATTTGCTCAGCTGGGCTAGCCGATGCTCAGTTCATTATTATACGACTTCACAGGACTGGGAGCAGGACCACCATCACGTTGCAGAAAGTTTTTGTTAAATGCGCCGCCGCTCCCACCCCCTCCCCCAAACTTGGTCCGCTCG